AAGTTGAATTATTGTAGCACATTTTGAAACAACACTGTTCTGATGGGGAAAGATTATGAGCTTTATTTCTCATAAAATAACGGAGATGCTATTCATGAGAACGATGTATACTTTCTATTCATAAGAGGCATCCTTGGAGTTTTTCATTTTTTGTATAACAAATGAAGAAGCCTCGACTTTCCTCTGTTCTGTTGTAAAGTGCGCAGTAAGCGGTTGGAGAACAAAAGAAACGAAGGGGGAGAAACGATTCGTTCCCCCTTCTTAATACTCTAATAAGACATGCTCTCTCAGCCAATCAGAACGCGCGTCATATAGGAACTTTATTTTCCTAACTCACTTATCTTTTTTTTTCCTTTTTGACCGATTCAGGTGTTCTCCGCCCTCATTTTAAAAGTTTTTGAAATATAATTGCCTCATCTGAGTTGCCGAAGACTCACAGAGGAGTGAGGAAACTCTATCAAACGGTACACAAGGCTTACGAACAGCAGCAAACTCAAAAACAAAAAACAATAAGTGAAAATAAAACTCTTATCTCATTGCCCTTATACATAAAGCCTGCCATAAATTTCAGATTATTTGGGTGTTGTAAGTGGTTCGAGTCGCTCAATTGACATCAAAATTTGTCTTTTTCTCCTGACGGTCCTATGTTGATCGATTTACACCTGTCTTCCATTGTGTATCAATTTTTGCAGTGACTATAAATATGCATTCCGATTGGTATAAATATGTTTTTAATTACTTGGCCCACCAATCCAGATCCATCTCTCTGTTGCAAGAACTTTAGACGCCGACAGCTATCTATTAAATCAGACATTAGAGGATAGCTTTTTGTTTGGCGTACAAAACGTCTCGCGCAGGTTGGAAAAAAAGAAAATCTTAAAATAAACAAATGAATAGAATAGAATATGATTGAGTAATGTTGAATAAAACAATTATTTACAGAAAACCTTGAGGTCTGAGGGATTTGACAACTTTCTGTAGATATTTTACCATATACTTTAATTAGTTATTAAATGGTCAAAATTTGAATTTTTGCAATCAAACCTAGCAACTAATATATGTTATGCCCCTAAATGTGCTTATTTTCACGACCTCTGAAACTTTATCCCAAGTTGAAAACCAAAACAATAAACGTAAAGAATATTGTCCAGATACATGGAATTTTAGTAAATCATCTCCTTTTGTGCTACTTATGAGTTCATACCTTCTTCATTGTAATCTTCCTCGACTAGATTTGAACAAAGGAAAAAATGTGTAAGAGATACATGAAAAGCATTCTTTCCCCATTTATACCTTTCTTTACATTTTTTTTTCAAACCAAACTTAAACAGCGAGAGAAAACAGCTGGCATTTGTTGACTAAAACTCTTTGTGGAAAAGTATGGCTCTCGTCAATTTACCGACTTGAGCAAAAGTGCTTACGAGAAGCTTGAAAGGTGAAAAAAAACCAAGCACGATTAATTTCCATTTTCTTAATATTAACAATTTTTCCAACTTCAAACATACCCGAGTGAAAAGAGGTTAGCCCTTAGAGAGAAAGATAAGTTCATAGGAATATTAGGTACTAAATTTTACCAAACTGGCAGCTATTTTGCAATCTGATTGGCCACTTTGCCGTTGCTGATAAGAGTGCACGGACAACGCTGCTTGCGTCAACGTGTCACGCAGGGCGTCACGCATCGAAAGAATCCACAGCATTTTGGCCACTGTGAGGACGAATATCGTTGTCGTAGAGACCACGCTAAACCACTGTGGATTTGTTAGTTTTATTCTCATGAATCATTATCTCTTTTTTTCTGCTTACTAAACAAAATTGCTTCTGTGGCACTAAGTAAATTATTAATAACCCATTGTTCAAAACTTTATCATTCTATTTGTTATATACAGACAAAAAGTTATTTCACATCAGCTATAAATACTTTATTTGCCTACTTAATTTCCTTCACAGGCTAACTCAGTTCAAGAAGATTTTTTGAATGTCCTGTTCGTAGGCTATTGCATAGATTGCATGTAAGTAAGGTCCCTCTCCTTCAAGAGAGGCCATCGAATAGAGGAAGAAAAAGTAACTTTTCTATTAGTTTTCTTTATGTTCTGAGAGTACGAAGATGATTAACATGGTAACAATTATGGACGAAAGCGACATTAGTTTTTTAATATCGAAAGACATGACAGGTGTCTGCTTAAAACTGATCGAAAATCATAGTAATCAATATGTTTTTCCATCAACATTACTAGGAAATGTTAGTAGGTCTAAAACGGCGAAAAAAATAATAGCCGTTAGGCGTAAGAATTGACAAAGTTTTTCCGTCAATCGTAAAAAACGTCAACCGTGAAAGCATTAGCATTAGCCGTATAAACTGGCCAAAATTCCAACCGTTACCCGTGAAAGCCATCTTCGCATGGAGACCCCTCATTTGATTATAACGCCTGTTGTATTAAAGGCAAGATCAGTGACCGTACGTGACTTTCTGTTTATTGACCCAAATTGATGTGACTATTCAAGCTTCAAATCCCAGACCTTGTAGACTATATTCTGAGCCATTCGCTTTAAGTGCCTCCATATTAAAAAATTATATCGACTCTTCGAAAAACGAAGCGAAAAAATTTACAAACTTCTTGGATTTACTACGAGTCCTTAAAATGTTGGTTACTAGAACTGACGAGCAGAAATTGCGTCGCTTTGTGTTGAAAATCTTGAAAATTGTACAATTTCAAAGGAAAACTGTCTATTAAACAAAACTTTTGGGAAATACGTGTATAAACACTTTATAATAAGATTTACCCCAACGTCGCAAAGCCTCAGTTGAAGTAAAAAAAAAAAACCCAAGTTTGTTTTCAGTCAGATGCGCGCATCACGTTTGGGGATAAAGCATCCTCAACTCCAAAACTAATTTCGTCGCTTTTAAAGAGTAACGTGCTCGTTGTTTTTTGGAAACGATTATTTTTTAGCAAACTTTCTTTTTTAGATAGGGCTCCAAAAGGTCTTTCTCATTAGGTAAAGAACGGAAAAACAATCTTGAAAGTTTTGAAACCTCGAGGCTATACTCGATGAAACTTCTCACCGACAATAAAGTCAGACTGAACTATTTCGATGAACCATCCATTTCTTTTACATAAATTACAAGCCAATTAAAGCGCGTGTTTTCATGAAGCTATAATAATAAAACATTAAATGAACAGCTGAGATGCACGGAATCATCAAGATATAATCTTACCAGACGATCTATCTCCAGCAGTCTGTGCACCATGTCCATTGCTCCCCCCTGACCATGATTTGTATCCAGGATTCCCTGTTGCGTTTGTGCTGGCGTCACATTCTCCATGTCTTGATTCAGCGAAAATTGGCACGTGATGGGTTGAGGTCCGAAGCGAATTTTATCAGGACCTCAAGCAGTCAGGACGGCAACGCCAAGAAAGACGTCGGATAAAAATGAATTTCTACTTTCAATTAGAATTTCGAAAATGGCTGTACGTGTTTACCACAAATCAACCTCAAAATAATGTATAAAAGTAGCGTTGAGTTCCAGATGGAAATTTAAAAAATTTGCTGTCGCGGTTTCGATGTGCAAAGGACGCAAATTTTGGTGATTTCAAGTTGCTGTTTTGTAAAGGCTGGCTATTAAATGTACTAAGTTTTAAAATGCACTTGCTGAGTTATTCTTCTGCCAGTTAGGTATATTGTCTTTTCACGTCCTCGTTGCCGTCGACGTCGTGGTTTGCTTGAGGTCCCTATTTCTAGAAAACGTTGAAGTTCGTGGGAGTTGCTTGGAAAATTGACCAACAGAAGCATTGTGTTCATGATTTACGTTGACGCAATAGCAGCCGACTGATCCCTCTATATTACTATACACAGCTTTCTTATGAAAATCGTTGATGTTCTGGATACACTCGTCAAATTTAGTCATCCAGTCATTTTCTATCGGAGTAGGGGAGGGGAGGTTGGGAGGATCATATGGTTTCTAGGGGGGACGGATACAAACTGCGATACGTTTTATTGTGTGGCATCGCTGAGTATTTTTGGACTTGCTCCGTATTTTGACGAGCCCATAGGGTGAGTCAAAATACAAACAACTAGTAAAAATACTCAGCGATACTACACAAAAGAACGTTTCATGAGATACTTACAATCTAACTTGCCAAATTGTTCAGTTACAGTACGGGCGAATTGCGCGGATATTTATTTACGGGGAGTGCGTGACAGAAGTATGCGAAGCGGAACGGAATCGGTGCTTTCTCGTGTTGCTGTTTCTATTTTCTTCGATAAATAATTGGTAATTGAACTGAGTAAAGTGCAATTTGGGCTGAAATCATAATCATGATCTGACTTCAGAAATACGATTTCAGACCAAAATTGCACGACAAGAGGTTCAATTACCACTTTATTACATCCATTTGGAAATCGCTCAAATACAGGACTTGGTCGATTCAAATATTTTATTGATGCAGTACTGAGCCAGTTTTTAAATAAAAAACGGAACCGGAAACGCTTTTACATATCATTTTGAATGAAAACAGAAAGACTTTGATGCCAAGTGTCAAAAACTCAGTCAAGCATAGAATGATGCGACTTAGAGCAATTAATGGTGCGATTTGTGCCAGTCAGATTACAGGGACCACCAGGAATTTCAAAATGGATGTAATAAATGGTGAAATGTCATTGTCGTCTGACTGGTTTTCTTCGTTCGATTTATCTTATAAACCTGCGTCAATATTTGCCAGCCATTACGACTCTTCGACGTCAGAAAAACAATTTAAATTGTCCGCCAACTTTTTTCGTAACCTCACTACAATTCACCGCTTGCGAGATGCGAGAAAATCTGTTTAAACGGTCCTCTGGAGTACAAACACGATGAGAAATTTGTACTCGTCACTGAGCGTTACATGCACTCTACGAAGCACAGTTGGACAATGAATGACTCCTAAGTCATCGCAAGACATGTCGGAGCAGGTCAAGCATACGAGACCAGGGTAAAGTGGATGCAAAATAGACACATAATTGTACTAGCCAACATGAAGCGCACGTGCAAAATAACTATTGCCTTTTTCACAGTATTCTCCCTTGTAGCCAGGTGGACACATGCACTTGTATCCCTTGTCTGTAAATCCAACCAAGCAAGTTGCATTGTTGTAGCACATGCTGAAGCAACCCTTGTTCTGATGGGGAAAGATATTAACGGGAAAGCTGTTTCTATCAAAGAATCGGTTCATACTTCCAATGCGTGTATCGAGTTATGTATGAACGAGGGAAGTTTGGAAAGCGTAAGGGAAGAGTTGCTCGAAGTGTAGCCCGGCATTAGTAAACTCTAGCTTTTGGAGTTATCAATGCAACCGTAAAAGTAATATTGACCGTTCAAATAACGAAGCGAAAAAAATTTCAAATTTCTTGAGTTTACGAGTCCCTTGTGGTAGATTTACTTCCTTGAATTGTCGGTTACTATAATTGACGATCCAGAATTTGCGTCCCTCTATGTTGAAAATCTGGAAATTTGTACGATTTCAAACGAAAATCATCTATTGAACAACACTTTAGGGACATACATGACTCAACACTTTACAACAATATTTACCCCAACGTCGCGAAGCCCAAGTTGAAGTCATTAAACTCAGTTTCATTTTAAGCCGTATTACTAATCGCCTTTGGGAATAAAAGTATCCTCGACTCGAAAACTAATTCCGTCGCTTTGCAGAGTTACGCTCATTGTCTTTCTAAACGACGAGTAGTTAGCATATTTCTTTTACTTTTGAGCTCCAATGGGTTTTTCTAAATCGGGATAGAACGGAAAAACGATCTTTAAAGTTTTGAAACCTCGCGGCTAAACTGAATAGAAACTTTTCACCGACAGTGACGTCAACCTGAACAATGTCGATGCACCATCCGTTTCTTTTTCATGAATTAGAATCCAATTAGAGCGCCCTTTATCATGTTGCTAGGATATAACATTAAATTAACAGCTGAGATGCAAGGAATCATCGCGATATACTCTTACCTGAGATTTTATCATCAGCATTCTGTGCACCATGTCCATTGCTCCCCCCTGACCATGATTTGTATCCTGGATTCCCTTCTGTGATTGTGTTGGCGTCACATCCTTCATGTCTTGACTTAACTGCACTTACCCCTCCTCCGCCACCAGCTATTATCAAAGGTGTGTTGGCTCCTCTCACCACAAAAGTGCCTCCACCACCTCCAGAACTGCGATGCACTTTGTTTATTCCTCCTTCTTGACCGACAAGAATCCGAATGACTCCACCCTTGTTTAAGCTGAATGTTCCAATCATTCTTGCTCCTCTTCCCTGGTGCTGAGTGCTGTTAGCGTGTAAATCGTACCCCCCTGCTGCTCCTATTGCTTCTATTCTGTAGTCACCAGTGTGCGGCACAGTCCAGTTTTGAATACCGCTGGACAGAGTAACTTGTCCGTCATGATCCTCTCCTATGTAGTGACTGCCCAGCCTTGTTGGACCGAATCTTCCACTGGCATTGAGGTTTGTAAAAACGGCCTTGAATGCTGAAAGGGAATAGTTGAGTTATCTACATCAATGTAGGCATAAAGGTTTTTTTTTCCTTTTATTGAAGGTAGATTTGCACTTACAAAAAGAGACATGGAAAAGTGAAGAAGATGTAAATTGATCTATAAAATTACTCATGTATTAATTTCATTGTTAAGTTATTAATCTATTTTTTTTTCATTGGATCTCATATTTAATTGACACGTACTCTCTCGTCACGAAATATTTCCCCTGAAAGAATATCAAGCATCGCATCTGATTGTGGTTGAAAAAGTTGCGTCTGCCTTCTTTGTTAAAAATGATCTTTTGAAANCTAACCGGGAGGCGGTTATTTCTTTCAAAAGGATGAAATACAATGGAAAATGACGGACTTCTTGTCCGATCCATGGACGGTTCCTGACTAGAACGGTCGGCCAAGCTGCAATCGTCACACAATGAATGAACTGGACATAAAAGTTGAAAGACGGAGACATAGATCATTGGTCTTGTTATCATGAGGCTTTCAGTGACCAATTAAAGGAAGATGAGCCACGGTTGATCTCAATACCCATGTACTTCGCAATGTCATTACTGATTTAGAATAGGGGCGCTTATCAGTGTAGGGGCGCTTATTGGAATGAGAGTATCTATTTAATAGGAGCGCTTATTAGAATAGGAGCGCCCATTAAAAAAAAAAAAAAAATTCAAATGTTATGGGGCCCTTTTCAGAGAGGGGGCGCTTATTGTAGGGAGGGCATTAATTCGAATCCTCAGTTACGGTATTTATATAACGCAGTTTATTGAAAATTGACTGTGTCCCTGTCTGTTTGTTTTTCTGTTTGATTGTTATTCTCTTTTATGCTACAAAAGGAACATCAGGGTTATGGCTTTAATAAAATAGAGGGCAAAATTACTGAATGCTGATTGGTCAATAAAGAGGGTATTTTTTTCTTTAATTTGCTTGAGAAGAGGGCAGAATTACTAGCTCATGATTGATACTCAGGTTGCTTAGCAACAGCTTATCCTATCGAAAACTTGTTGCTGAAGATTTCCTGTAACAATGGCGTCTCGTTTCGAGATAGTTGACGAGGAATATATCGAAGAATTAAAAGACAAGAGCGAAAACGAAAACACGAGGAAAAGCACGGAGTACTGGAAGGACGTTTTTAAAAAGTGGGTGAATGAAAGAAACTTCCAAGCAAATTTAGAAGAGTACCAGAGCGATATCATCGACCAAAAAATGGCGCAGTTTTATGCCGAGTCACGAAAAGAAAATGGGGATGAATATGAGCCCGACTGCCTTAAAGTAATGCAGGCATCACTGGAGAGTTATCTAAAATCAAAAGCCTATGCAAAGTCGTGTTATCTTCGTGCAAAAGTAAAATTTCATTAAGCTCATTCGTGCGTTTGTGGCCATTGATTCTCTCTCAATTTTAAATGGCTTCCTATGACTGATTACTGAAGAGTGCATTCAGAAATTCAGTAGTTTTCTCCTCAATTTCATTGACAAGAAATCGCAATGGGTCCTCGTAAAATCAAGGATTAATATCACTTGTGTTTTCAGAAGTTGCTGAAATTGCCCTTGTCGCTTCGCGACTCGGGCAATTTCAGCAACTTCTGAAAACACAAGTGATATTAATCCTTAATTTTACTCGGCCCCGTGCGATTACCTATACAAATTGACGAGGTCCTGCCATTATAAGGATTATTATGGATTAACTTTTTCTTATCATGTACTGTGTACGATGTGTTTCATTCGGTATAGGCATTTTACAAACTTTATCCTACTTTTTCTCCGTTTATGTAAAACATAAGCATTGTCGACAAAAATAACCTGCATAGGTACCACGCCTCCTGCATTCTCCCCCACAGCCCTAATTTCCTAATTTGGCCTCGTCACGCAATGCCCTCTCTCCTACGTTGCGTGACGAGACCAAACGACGATCTGCTCATAGGCTACGACAATCCTTGCTGCTCTTCCTTTATCAGAGACAAAGTGTTAATCAATCAGTTACAACTAGTTGCCTCAAAATATTTTCATGTAATTTTGTAAAGGAAAGCAAATCAAAAACTCTATTTCATCTCTGACAGCCGCTGAAAAAAGATATTTTTCAGTCTCCGTTCTTCGAACAAGTGAAAAGAGATTGAATGAGGAGGAAAGTTTCATATATCAAGGCATAACAATGTAGGCTCCTTATGCGGTTGTTGCCTATCTGGCCTTATCCCTGTCCGTGCGAAATACGTGATAAAATGCAAGTTGTTTACAAGGAATTGACACGTGATGGGGTGAAGTCCAAGGTAGCAAAGAACGAATTTTATTTGCAAAAAAAAATATCGAAGTGCGTAGAAAATGAGTGGAAAATTGACTGATAGACGCAGAATGATCCTTGGGAATTTTTTTTACTGAGGTAGGATTGTCATAGAATTTACGTTATTAATGGCATTTCATCTGAGAAAGTCTAGTCCATAGTGGCGAGTAAAAGGTAAACACCAAATTGTAGCGGCAAAGTATCATTTAAACATGATATTTAATCAGTGGATAACCGTTTAGAAACAAAGAAACAATATGTAGCATAGCTTGCGCCTTTTCCGACAACCTTTCTGAAAACAGCTGATACCTTTTCTTTCCTCATGAAAGGAGTTATGCACGATGCATGTCCGTATATTTATTATCAAAGGTGTAGTGTCGGGGATTCGAATAACCGGGAGGACACATGTAAACAATACTGTAGAACCCAACGATTTAATTCAACATGTCGAACCAAGCGTAACACATGGCAAATAACGCTCAACTGAGCATGCGCTGACTTACATGAATGTTCATGAGATATAACATAAAGAATAATTTTTCTTTTTAGTTTTTGATTGACAGCAGCTTTTGGCTTTCCGTTAGAAAAACATTTTCGGGATATTGGGTTTACGAAACTTGTCATAAATAGGGATTAAGAAATGGGAAATGCGCTTTTTAAAAATTGATCAAGTATTATGACCCAAAGTGGTGGGGTCCACAGTTGGTCACAAAATAGACAACAATAAAGTGGGGATCCTGGGAGGCCAGCGGCACATACCCAACAAGAGCTCTTTAAGTTCCTTCAAACCCCCTCCCTACCCCCGAGTTTTTTTTCCAAGTAAAGGAAGGCAAAGTGCAGTAGGAGAAAGCAATTTTTAACACATTAAAAAGTGACGTAATTAACATCGATTTCTCGATGGTCAGGACTTTCTCAAATGAAAAGGCAGAACATTTTCCACTTTCTCTGTTGCACTCGGTTTTGCATTCCAATCAGTAGGACTAGTCTGTGTTATGGCGAATTGTCGCGATATAGATACACGCAAGATGCTTGGAGGGCAAAAGAGAAGGTCTCGTCATGTTCAGAAAATACAAAATCACAGGTATTATAAAGTTATCGTTTTCGGTGCTGGTTAAACTTAAGATTAACAAATGTCAGAATTACCTGTACAGTTCTTGCCATCGCCATTAAACCCTTCTTTGCAGCTGCAGTTGAAGGAACCCTCGGTATCGTTGCAGTGAGCATGGACACCACAGTTGTGAGCATCGGTGGAACATTCGTTTAAATCTGAAGAAACGAATGCTTTCCGGTCGGACGAAATAGTGACAAATGATAAAAGGATTTTCTAGAATTAGTCTGATTGTTTAACCTATGATATGCAACTTTTACAAACCTGAAATATCACTGAAAGCGCTCGCGACCAATGATAGTTAATATTTAATTCACAAAAACAACTAATCCAAATATAAAAAATCTGAAACTAAATTAATTAGCACACATCATCGAGGAAGGATACGAGTCTTCTAAGGCAAAAAGAGGGCGTGAGACGTGCGTGACGTGATGCTAACAATGATATCGATTGCAAAATGAAAATATATCTGTGCTTAAAAACATTGTAAACTTGGCTAAACTCCAGTCACAAATTTTGTAATGCAACCAAAACTAAAAAAGCATGGTTTGTCTTCCACGACTCGTAAATCGTTTGACGACAGGAAGTAGTACTCTAGACACGAAACGCGTAAGGAAATAAACACGCGATGGTTGTAACGCGTGATAAAGGACACAATTGCAGCCGACTGATTCCTCTTATTACTGTACACAGCTTTCTTTTGAAATTCGTCGATGTTCTTGGTACGCTCGTCAAGTTTAGGCAAATAGAAACAAAACCATTTGGACGCTTGGAACAACTTAGGTGGACAGTTTTCATAGTTACCCGTGCATTTTTTGCCATCGCCTTTGAATCCAACCTTGCAGTTGCAGTTAAAAGAACCTTCGGTATTGTTGCACTCAGCATTGATATCACAGTAGTGCGTATTGGTGGTACACTCGTCTACATCTGTTGGAAAAAACTTCTTTCCTTCAGTAATGAGAGTTAAAAAAAATTGATATAAGCTTTTGGAGGTATGTTCTTATTGGATGACCTGTGATACTCGACAAGACAGAAAGCTCACTGAAAGTGCAACTCGTAGAATGATCTAAAGGGACATCGAGTTATACAGTTATCTTAATAAACGTTTTGTTGTGTAGTATCGCTGAGTATTTTTACGAGCTCGTAGGGTGTCAAAATACAAACTACAAGTAAAAATACTTAGCGATACTACGCATCGAAATGTTTAATAAGAGATTTATTATCTCACGCGCCAAATTATGTTTTCAGTGCGGGCGAATTTCGCGGATATCTGTTTACTGGGAGTGCTGAGCGGTGCGGAATCAGCCGCGTTGTCCTGTTGCTGTTTCTGTTTCCTTCACCATATGTTGAAATTTCAATGTCGTCTACCCGCTTTTCTTTCTTCGCTGTATCGAAAAAATCTGGAACAATATTTGCCAGCCATTCCGACTCTTCGTCGTCTAACAAATAATTTAAATTTTGTGCCAGTTTTGTTTGTAACTTCAATCCAATTCGTCGCTTGCGCGGTGAGAAGAACTGTCTGAGTTCTGTGGATTACAAATACAGCGAGACATTTGAACTCGTCCTGGGCCTTATTTGTACTCTAAGAAGCAGAGTTGGATAATAAATGACTCGTAAGTCATCAGAAGACATGTCGAAGCATACGAGACCATGGTAACATGGATACAAAAGATAGGATGTGTCCAAAACGAAGACCCAAAAACGAAGACCTAAGACCCGCTGGTCTAAAACGAAGACCCCCTGGTCTAGAACGAAGATCCTGTGGTCTAAAACGAAGAGTCTGTAGTCTAAAACGAAGATCCTGTGGTCTAAAAGAAGACCCTATGGTCTAAAACGAAGACCCACTGGTCTAAAACGAAGACCCACTGGTGTAAAACAAAGACCCATTGTTTTAAAAACCTTTTTTTCAAGTTACGATGAGGTGACTACTTTGCTACACTGTCTTTATCATATAAAGGCGCAAAGGTCAACTGTGCGTGACTCGCTAATTTATTCACCATAGGCTACAAAGATGATCTCCCGCCATAATGGCCTTAGACCATAAACACTAAATGTCATCTGGGCGCGCTTCATCTGAGTGCACACAACACGTGTCGATGTCCCCGGTGAAATCTGTAATTGATTATATATTAGGCAAGTGTAAAAACGATTAACAGTTACAGAACTGTCGCGGCTTTCATATGGGTCAAAAATGTCATACACCAAATTAGAAAACTGGCGGGAAATAATCGGGCGGGAGATCTTCCATGTGGCCTGTGGTGAATAAATTAGCGAGTACCGCACGGTTGACCTTCGCGCTTTTTTATGATAAGACAGTGTAACAAAGTAATGAGGTCACCTCACCCTAATTTGCTCAATAATGCTCCGCATTACGCATTATTGAGCAAAATCCTAATTATTGAGTAAAAAATACCTCATTATTGAGTAAAATCATAATTATTGAGCTAACCGCCTCCCGGTTAGCTCAATAGATAGAGCGCTGGACTGATGTGCGGGAGGTCGAGGGTTCGAGCCCCGGCCGGACCAACACTTAAGGTCTTAAAATAATTGAGAAGAATATGCTGCCTTTCTATAACATCAAGAAATGGTTTAGATATTCTAGTCTTCTCGGATAGGGACGAATAAATGGAGGTCCCGTCTCCTGCAGGGTTAGGGGTAGGAGACGTTAATTTCCCACGCACGAGATTACTGTGTGATGGATGTCCTCCCCTGGGGTGGGATGGGTGGGTTGTTGTCTTGCGTTTCATACATGAGCCTCTGGCTCGGGCAATATGGGTAACCATGCCCCACGTAAAGACATTAAACTTTGATTACTATTACTATTACTATTACTATTACTATTACTATTACTATTACTATTACTATTACTATTACTA